GGGTTCCCCGGGGGACGGTGATGCCCAGCCTGGCTGTGTGCTGCGGAAGGGGTGCCTGGGCCCCCAGAGGGACGGGACAGACGGACAGACACCCACAGGCGCGCGCCCCGCGGCTTTTAACTTTTTATACCAATACCGCAACTAGTGAGAACGTCTTCGCTGGTGCTGGTGGGACGTGGCTGAGACCAGACGACAAATGACCCTGTGAGAGCAGGAGGACTGTGTTTAATATTACCCCCTGAGGATGCAGGTTGTTTGCATTTGGTGGGGTTTGTCAATACAAGAGCAAAACTGCACCAAAACCTTCCTCCTTCACCAAGCATCCCCTCGGGGTACCCAAACTTCCCTTTCACCCAACTCATGTTCTTCATCCTCTGTTGGTTTTCTGTTACGGCGTCGATGTGAGGAGCGCTTGGAGCTGTGCCGGGAAGAAGGGAAGGATGTGCTGGCAGCTGTGGGATGGCTGGAATAGGATGCGACACGACCATGCAGCCCCCTCCAGTGCCATGGCAGGGCTGTACTGCTTCTGGTGCATCTTGGCCTCTCACAAACCAAAACCCACCAAAACCAGGTGACTAAAAGCCAATTGCCATCCCTGTGGCAATGCCTCTTGCCGTATGTGCCCGGCTCCAGCCCAAGCCCTGCCTGTGGGCACGATGCCCCTGGGTTTGTGTCCCCCATCGAGCTCGTCCCCCATTGCTGCTGCTGTTGGAGCTGGGCTGCCCGGGAGTCCCTGTACTGGGGTGGGATGGAAGAGGCTGGCCGGGAGCACATACTTTTGGGGTCGGTGTCTCAGCTCAGCCCCTTCCCCTCCTTCCAAGGGGCAGTTTGGGGCCCGACACCCCCTCGGCTGCACAGCCTGGACATGACTGTCCCTCCTTCCCTTCCCGTGGGGCATGACCAGTGCTACCATCAAGGCAGCGGGTTCTGCCTGCGCCCCCTGCCCGCTGCAGCCCCGCGGCAGCTCCCTCCATCCTCGCTCGACTCTGTAACCCAGCAAAAGCACGTGTCTGCTGCAGCGGTGCATGAATGTACAGAACAGCGTTAACCCGAACCCCGGAGCGCTGCCTGCGCCGGCCAATCGCTTCCACCTGCACCGCAGAGACCTGCCCGGAGCAGACGCTCCAGATGCGTTTTCCATCTATTTTTGCACACTTGTAAAGGTTTTCTTTGGCTGCCAAGTGAATAACTGACTTGTTACCTTCATGTACCTTTACATTCACATGTTATAACTCCAATGTGCTTTCTTTTTTCTTAAAGAGAAGCCTGTAAAGCACAACGTTGCCATGAAATCCCATCAGCCATCCCAGACTTGCTGCCAGCTGAATGGTTTAGTGCCATTAACGTTTGACTTCTATTCCCCCATGACACTCCCAATAAAAGCTGTTTACAAAAGCAAACCAAAACCAAACCACAAATACCTGTTCAAAATTGCAGTTTCAAACGGTTGTGAGACGGGCTTGAGGGGATCCTATTTATTTCTTTTTAACTGTTATTTGTTCCTGATGTGTTGCTCACGAGGCCCTGTGTGACCTGCACTGGGAACTATCCACTGATGGTATATGAAGGGCTTGGAGAGGCACTGCAGCTGAAAGCAATGAGCCCAGCCCAGCCCAGCCCTTCTGCTACCCTTGGGTGTGGGCACAAACAACACTGTCTCTGATGGGGTTTTTTGGGTTGTTTTGGGTTTTTTGCAGTTATTGAGGGTTTTAATCTAAGTGATTGTTGTTTGATTTATTTCCCTTTGTAACACAGCATGCCAAAAATATTGTTTGAAATAAATAAGCTGTTGTAGGCTGGAAAAGAGAGCGAAGTTGAAGCACAAAAGCACACACTGGGTCTGTGTTAAAGCCCCAAGAGGCTCAGATAACTCCAGAAATGCCTCATCCCCTGTTAGTATATTTAATTATCCAGATTACAGCCGACGATTTTCCAGTCCCCACTTTGCTTTCAAGGGCGTGTGGAACAAATATTAAGGGTCTGAAAACCCCAACCACCCAAACACCAAACTGCCAAGCAGTGTGTGGCTGCTGTGATTATCTGCGTGTGCTCAACTGCTCAGAACATCACAGGTTTTAGTGTGCCCCATCCCTGGCAGTGTTCGAGGCCAGGTTGGACACAGGGGCTTGGAGCAACCTGCTCTAGTGGAAGGTGTCCCTGCCCGGGGCAGGGGTTGGAGCTGGATGAGCTTTAAGGTCCCTTCCAACCCAAACCAGGCTGATTCTATGATTCTTTTGGTTCCATTTGACTGGCTGCTGGTGGGACGGGTTCCGTAAGTGCTGCTTTCTGCAGCTAAACCCAGCCCCAGAATGACCCAGCACCGAGCAGCCAGGTCGGCCACATGCTGCTGGGTAAGGGGTCCCTGTGCCAGAGCCCCCCCGGCCACACAGGAGCTCAGCTTTCAGCGCCTCCTTCCTCCCTGGGCACTCCGAATTCTTACTGACCCTTAACACAAGGAGATACTCAATCTGAAAGGAAACCCATGTACCAAAAGCAGTATAAAATCTCTCTGGTTTGTGATTCTGTTAAATAACAACCTCAATATGACCGTATCTTGACAATGCTTCTGGTTTTGTTTAAGGTATAAATAGGTGTATTTAAACAGAAAGCTACGTGTATAAACCATCCGCGTTTTGCAGACGTTCTTTCTATGGTGTATATTTATAGCAGACATTCTACTGGGATGTTGCAATCGATACTGTAGATACTTGCCTGTGGCCAATGCAAGTCTGAGAACAAACGTTTAATTTTTCTAATTCTTTAGACTCAGCTACAACACTAATGTAAAAACAGAAGTATTTTATTTTTGTAATGGGCCTGGGAATGCTGGTGCATCAAGAAGAGCCGTTTCTGCTTGGGAAGAGCTGTCTTGGAGGGGGCCAGCTTCCGTCCTGCACTTCCCACAGGGACAGTGAGCTTGGAAAAATAGGATTTGCTGAAGGGAAGGGATATGTTCCACTGTGGAGATGTGACAGGCCCTGGGGGAAGGCAGAAACGAGGATGGCCGCAGCAGGTCCAGGTTTAGAAATAAACGGCTCCATGGCATGTTACGTGTCCACTAATGGTTTCCTACAGTAAATATGGACTAAATCCATATATCCTGCATTAAAATTGAATATTAATCCAAATGTTAGAGTATATTTATTTCCTGTTATACCTCTTTTTTCTTCAATCCATATAGAACATGACATCTTTATTTCCCCTGGGAGACCTGTCATCTCTCCAGGTCAGCTCACACAGGGATATTTATCAGCAACAGCCGATAAAGCTCCTTCGGAGCCCTGATCCTGTGGCACGTTCTGCTGGGAGGCACTGCAGGAGAGGGTTTTGTACAATGACTGTGAAGATGCTTCACATTTCTGTAAAGACGATGAAAATAAAAGAGCTGCATGCAGCAACCATGGAGACTGTGTCTCATTTCGGTCTCGGAGTGAATGTTCATCTTAAAACCCACGGCGAGGTATGGCTCTAGAGTGCCAAAGGCCTGACACATATAAGCCCGTGTTTCAGGTCATCTCTTCCAGACCTTTTTAACCTCAGCTTTCAAATCTCTCTCTCCATTCATGCCCAAAAAGCATGTTAGATTTGCTTCCTGTTGTGTTACAGTAACAGCACGACTCCAACAGTGCATTTAAAGGTCATTTAATTCATTTATATAATCCTCATTTTCTATGATTCAACAAATGCATTAATTTCGTGGCAATTTAACTTCTTTCTTTCCTGATGTTGAGCCAGGATTCAGTGCGTGCTCCTCGACCTCCTCACCCTTCAAAATTTTCCACTGACTTGACACTTTACATCCCCATCCCAAGATTTCCAGAAAGAAAACCCATTTCTAGGGCATAATATACTCATAGGTTTAATTATGAGAGCAAATGCGAACAGCTGGCAACTCCAGATTGGTTTTATTAGACATTTTAAGAAAACACTTTAAAATGATATTTATTTAAAATCATACAGAAGGACACAATATACCTCAAATTGTGAAGTTAATTCTAGGATTAACACACACGTACAAGTGAGAAATGCGGAAGCCATCGAGTTATTTTGCTGTGAACTTCCCTGCGGCAAGGAGGAGAGCAGGCAGCCAGGTTCCTGCTAACATTAACTATTGTCTTTAGACAGGACGGGTCTATACATGGAGAACAAATTCCTCCTGATTTTCCAGTGCAGCTGAATTCCAGTGATCACAACAGAAGAATGTAATTCCACCACCACCAGTAGCAGCCCTCGCTGTTAAGAGAACCCATCAAAGACTGCAGGACAGGATTTAACACCCCATGTGAACAGCCACCGATCCCTGTGCTGAACAAGCATTTCTAGTTGTGTGGTTCACTGGCTATAACACAAAACTCAGGGGGTTTTCTCTCCCCACCCCGAGATCTCCACAGTTGCTGTAGTTGGTTAAAAAGTCATTCTTATTGATCGTGATCTCTTTAGTGAAGCTATAAAAGCTCATCTGCAGCACTGCAACACTCTTCATTTCAGAAGTGGGCTTGGTTTTGGTTATTTCTGGTTGCCAGATGCTGTCTCACAGTTGCTTTGTCACCACACCAAGGGGACTTCGTTGCTTCTCAGCAGTAGGTTCTTCACCTGGTTGCACTTGCTTTTTATCTTACCTTGCCTTCCTTGGCAACAGCAGCACTAAAAAAGGAGAGAACACTACAAAATGAACCCAAATTCATTTAAAACACTGCTCCAGTTGAGAATAATTAGTGTCTAACACTGAAAACTTTTTTGTGAAGAGAAAAATTAGAGCACTAAAACATACATTAGAAGCAGGGGAAACGGTATTGATGTGGCTGGGAAATGGAGAGGAAACCAAAAGTGGGAAGGATTTGCTATTTTACTCAATTTTTCAATTATTCCCTGAAAGACACCCATGCAGAAGAAGAAAGTTTTTCCTTTGGTGGGATGCCCATGTAATGCCATGGCAATTCTGGGGCGTTTGTGTGCTTCAAACAGCTCTTTCGAGTGCCTCATCTGAATGGTGACAAATGCATTGAATATTGAATCATCTCTGCTGCACACATCACATTGCACCAAGGACAAGTTTAGAATAAACATCAGGCAGAAGCTCTTCCCTGGGAGGGTGCTGAGGCGCTGGCACAGGGTGCCCAGAGAAGCTGTGGCTGCCCCATCCCTGGCAGTGTTCAGGGCCAGGTTGGACACAGGGGCTTGGAGCAACCTGCTCTCGTAGAACTGGTTGGAACCGGATGAGCTTTAAAGTCCCTTCCAACCCAAACCATTCTGGGATTCTACCACAGCTGAAAGTCAGAAGTGTTCCTAAGAGCCGTTCCTTTCACTGCTGGTGGGCTCCGAGGTGTTAGAACCACAGCCTTTTCCAGGAGGGAAGCACTCAGCTGCTCCGTGAAACCAGAAAGTGTGACACTAGGAAAATCTATCCCTTCAATGCCTAAATATGCTTTAGATAAGTAACAGTAAAACCTTGCAATGTGAAGTGTATGGAAAGAACCTTAAAATAACGCCTACAACCAAAATAAGCCTCAATAAACCTGCAAACGGGAAGCTCTGAACCCTACGGGAAATATTTTGCTTATAGAATGATTTTACATTGGCAAAGTGTGCAAACAAAATCAAAACCAAACAAACCACTAAATGTTTTATTTATCACAACAGTAGTCCATTGGCCGAGTGTTGCTCTCAAGTTAATGGCAAGATTTCAAACGCAAGTGGGCAATATACTTACATTCCACATGGAAGTTCCTCCTGTAATTCTGGTATATTTCTCCTAACAAGACAAGATTCACTGTTTTCTTCCCTTGGTGGATTAAAGGTGCTTTCACATGGTGACCTCTCATGGTTACCTATGGAGAACCTCTTAGGATGTGTCACATCAATGTTCCCTGGTTGCTGCAATAACTTATTAAAGCTAAATCCATGATCAGACTCCATCCATGGAAATTTTAGGTGTATCACTATATATACATGTAACACGAATGAAGAAAATTAGAGGTAAGGTGAAGTAAACTTTTTCTCCCATTTTTAATGTTTTCATATATATAATTAAACAATAGAACATCTGATCAATGTGAGGACAAGAATTCTTTTTTTTGGGCTTTAATATGTTGAAAAATGCATTTTAGACATCTAAAAAGTATACTGAAGTCAACCACACGAACATCTCCATTTCAAACTGTCCTGAAGAATATTATATGACGGTTTTCACTTATACACACACAAAACACCTCCCAAAACACTTCACAGGTTTCTCCAGTTCTGCGTATGGGACACAGCAGTAAAGATGGGAACAAGATCAAGTGCTCCAAAAATCTTCTTTCCATATCACTTGCTGGAGCAGTGTCCTTGGAAAGGCACAGAATCAGCCTCATCCGAAGTCTCGGAATTCAGCTCCTGTTTGCCGTCCGAAACACAAAACCCAGTGCAGAAATCCTGGCCGTGAGTGTGACTGGTCCCCAGCCCTGTCACCCTCAGCCACCCCAGAGGGTGCATTTCCCTGAACTGCTCAAAGTGAATTAAATGTAAACCTCTAATTAACTGAGAGCTGTTTAATTGGACGCCCCATCCCTGGCAGGGCTCAAGGCCAGGTTGGACACAGGGGCTTGGAGCAACCTGCTCTAGTGGAAGGTGTCCCTGCCCGTGGCAGGGGGTTGGAACTGGATGAGCTTTAAGGTCCCTTCCAACCCCAAACCAGTCTGGGATTCCATGATACTCCTACTTTATACTGCAGCCCCAAAACACTGGCTGTAGTAAGTGAAAACTCCAAAGAGATCACCAGCTCCTATGCTGTTCACTCTCCAGTGTAGCAGGGAGAAATTGAGCGTATTTTGTTTGCACACTCAACGTTCTAGCAGCAATATGAAGGTTTTCAGAGTATTTTCAAAACTCAAGACTATTCTTGAACCCTGCCACAGAGCATGATGGAAACGTGACAGACATTGACTACAAATGCAAACAGCACGTGCAAATACACAACAGACTGAGGCATGGGAAGTCTGAGAGAAAGAAATCGCATTGAAAAGCACTTTAAAGATGTACATTCTTGTGTTTATGATGTGTAGGAAATCGAGAGAGGTCAAAGGCAGATCTACTTTGATACTAGCCTGTATAGGAACTAGTTCCCTAGCTCAAAGCAAACACAGCAAGAGCGCTGTGATGTATTTCCAGGGAGCTCTGTGGAAGCCTTACAGGGTGTTTGGCTCAGGCACATCTTTAGAAAACTCAGTGGAATCAAAAATATCACTTGTTTCCAGACAGCAATTACAGTTTATTCCCTTTCTATGGTCACAGGAAAAGCTGATGCTGTAGCTGTACCTCAAGCTCCCACTCTCGCCTGCCTAAACTCCCAAGAAACAAAAACTTTTGTGAAGCGGAAAGAGGGTTTTTAGCCAAAGCCAGCTCTTGATTTTACATAGCTAAGAGGGAACAACCCTGGCTCCAACTAATCCTGGCAAAAACCAAACTAGACGGTTTAAGCTGCAGGTTGACAAGTTACTTCTCTTTCC